AAAATGAGGAAGGATTTTCAAATCTATGTGCATTCAACAAATCGGTCATAGTAGGCACAATATTCCCACACAAACATTTACACAAAGCTAAAAGGATCTCACTGGACCATACCACAGAGAACCAGATAGATCATATTTGCATCAATAAAAAGTTCCGAAGGACAATGGGAAATGTGAGAACCAGGAGAGGTGCTGACGTAGCTTCAGATCACCACCTAGTTGTGGCCAATTTAAAACTGAAGCTAAAGAAGAACTGGATAATTGGACAATCAACACTACAGAGGTTCAATACAGCCTTCCTTCGAGATACTGACAAACTCAATGAATTCAAGATAGCTCTCAACAACAAGTTGCAAGCCTTACAGGATCTACTGAAAGAAGAAGAAACTACTATGGAGGACAACTGGAAAGGTATCGAACAAGCATTAACTCCAAAGTGTCAAGAGGTTCTTGATTGGAAGAAACATCATCATAAGGAATGGAACCTTACAGAAACACTGGACAAGATCAAAGAAAGGAAGAACAAGAAGACAGCAATTAGCAACAGCTGAACACGAGCAGAAAAAGCCCAAGCACAAGTTGAGTACATGGAGGCAAACAAGCAAGTGAAGAAGAGTATTAGAGCCGACAAGCAGAAATATGTAGAAGAACTAGCAACGACGGCGGAAAAAGCTGCAAGAGAAGGAAATATGAAACAACTTTACGATACAACGAAGAAAGTAGCAGGGTAATATAGTAAACCAGAGAGACCGGTCAAGGACAAAGAAGGCAAGCCAATCACCGAACAGCGGAACAAATGGGTAGAATACTTCGAGGAACTCCTGAATAGGCCGGCTCCAATGAATCCACCGAACATCGAAGCAGCACACACAGATCTTCCTATAGATGTCAATCCACCAACGACGGAAGAAATCAGAATGGCCATCAGACAAATCAAGAGCAGGAAAGCAACAGGACCCGACAAAATGCCAGCTGAAGCATTAAAGTCAGACATCAAAGTAACTACAAACATGATTCACTTTTTATTCCAAAAGATTTGGGGGGGAAGAACAAGTGCCGATGGACTGGAAAGAAGGACACCTCATCAAGATTTCGAAGAAAGGAGATCTGAGGCATCAAACTACTGTCAGCAACAGGGGAAGGCTTCAACAGAGTGTTGCTGAACCGGATGAAAGATGCAGTAGACGCCCGACTTCGCTATCAACAGGCTGGATTCCGTAAGGATCGGTCGTGCACAGACCAAATTGCGACAATACGGATCATCGCCGAACAATCAGTTGAGTGGAACTCGTCACTGTACACCTACTTCATTGACTATGAAAAGGCGTTTGACAGTATAGACAGGAGAACGTTATGGAAACTTCTTGGACACTATGGAGTTCCTGACAAGATTATCAACATTATCCCGAACTCATACGACGGACCACAGTGCAAAGTCGTGCATGGAGGACAGCTGACAGATGCATACCAAGTGAGGACCGGAGTCAGACAAGGTTGCTTACTCTTCTCCTTGCTCTTTCTTCTAGTGGTCAACTGGTTTATTAAGACCTCAACATCTGAGGGAAAACACGGCATAAAATGAACAGCTCAGAACCAATTAGATGATTTGGACTTCGCAGATGACCTGGCCCTCCTATTGCATACACACGAACAAATTCAGATAAAGACAGTCAGTGTAGCAGCAGTCTCTACATCAGTAGGCTTCAACATAAACAAGGGAAAAACCAAGGTCCTCAAATACAACACGGAGAACACTAATCCGATCACAATTGGTGGCGAAACTATGGAAGATGTAGAGTCCTTCACATACCTAGGAAGCATCATCGATGAACAAGGAGGTTCAGATGCAGACGTAAATGCGAGGATTGTCAAAGCAAGGGCAGCATTCCTACGATTGGAGAACATATGGAACTCAAAACAACTTTCAACCAATATCAAAGTGAGAATCTTCAATACGAATGTCAAGGCAGTTCTACTGTACGGAGCTGAAACTTGGAGTACTACAACAACCATCATCAAGAAGGTACAAGTATTTATACATAGCTGTCTACGCAAGATACTCAAAATCCGTTGGTCGGATACCATGAGCAACAGCCTTCTGTGGGAGAGAACAAACCAGCTTCCAACTGAAGAGGAAATTAAGAAAAGACGATGGGAATGGATAGGAAATACATTACACAAATCATCAAACTGCATCACGAGGCAAGCCCCAACTTTGAATCGTGAAGGGAAGTGGAAAAGTGGAAGGCCAAAGAACACATTAGGTCAGGAAATAGGAGATATGGAAAGGATAAATAACACCTGGAAAGAGCTATGAAGGACTGCCCAGGAAATTGTTGGATGGAGGATGCTGGTGAGCGGCCTAAGCCTCTTCACGAGGAGTAACAGGCGTAAGTAAGTAAGTATCTTTACACTGTAACTACATCACAAAGAGTCCATCGGAGGCTTTTTATTAGATTGATATTACTGGTTTATTAATATTCTCTTTGGATATGAAAGTATTAAATTAATTTTTCAGCCTAGAGATTCTGTCGTCCAGAATATTTTTGAATATTAGACAATTTAGATCTATTTTTTGTTACCATCTGTTCATCAGCTAAACTGGGAATGTTAACCATGTCCCGCTTTATTGACTAAGTAGTAACTGTTGACAATGTTTGTTGCTAATTGTTATATAATTTTAATAGTTGAGATCATGAGTCAGTTGAAGCTAGACCACCATGGAAAACGTGGAAGCATTCGCCAGCCATTTCGTTCTATTGTGAGACTCCTCAGTAGTGCGTACCCACAATCCCGCCTCACGAGATTCAAAGTCAAAATCTATCAGTCTCGCACACAAACTCTTAGTTTGTAGACCAATGAATTGATTAACGCCGTTGGATGCCGGCAGGCTCAGTTGTCTAGTGGTTAATTGCTCGCGCACGAGACCGATAGGTCCATGGTTCGAATCTCGTGAGGCGGGATCGTGGATGCGCACCACTGAGGATTCCCACAATAGAACCAAACGGCCGTCCATTGGTTATATGGTTATCTGGTTTCAATTGAATCAAAATTTTAACTAATAAATAATCTCTTCATTCAATATTACATGTTTTACACAGTGAACATTCTTAGTAGAAAAATGAATTTTTCCAATAAATTCACAACACTATATTAGTGAACATATGAATATTGGAAATAATTGTATTCTTATTACTGATAGTGTTGCAAATCTGACAGTGATATACAATTTGCTATGCGCTAACCTCGCTAACTGAATCACGGAGCGAGAAGACAAGAGTGAAATTGAAAGTCTATTAGAGTACCGAATAATATGCATAAATACTCATTTATATATACCCCTTGGAAAATCATTCCATTTTTTAGCCACTTATGTACATTTAACCCTCAAGGTTATTCTTGATTGTTTTCATATGAAGTTCCCATGTGGCCATTTCTGATCGGCTGACTTTATCATGGATACAAATAACTGAGACCTTTCTTCATCCTCAAATGTCGACGACTAGTTTTGTATCTATGACAATGTGATTAATCACTTGATTTTTTTTTATCTAAAGATATCAATATAATCATTTGTTGGTTTTCAAAAAGACAGACAAAGAGAACAATATACAAATTATTTAGTTGGTTAGGCAAAGATGGATACTGGCTAGCATTGAAATTCAGGACGCGCGTTTCTTCTTGTTTGGGACTCATCAGTTGGATCTATCAACGCAGTACGTACAGGATGTACATATACCAACAAGAGACTGATCAATTGCAGTCCTAAACAACAATGGGAAGATACAAGCAAACAACACCAAGTGTATTTTTACGGGTTTTTTTCGTAGCACTTATCACATTGAAAATAGTTATATATCACATATCCTAAGAGTTCACTATTGATAACATACTTACTAACTTTCGCCTACTGCCCCCAATAGAGCATAAGTCGCCGAGTAGTATTCTCCAACCCACTCTGTCCTGGGCCTTTCTTTCTTGTTTTATCCAATTGTTGTTCAATCTTCTCATATCTGTCTCTATTTCTCAGCGTAATGAGTTCTTTAATGTTTCTCTTCTCATTTGACTTTGAAGATTCCAAGTGACATAATTAGGTGCTTTCCTCAATAGGGAACACATTGAGGAATCCACTTAACTACGGCACAAGACAAGCCCTAACTTGAACTCCTCAAAGCCATAGAAGAAGAGAAAGACGAGAAACCTCTTGATCCAAATCACTTAGATTAACTTCATTAATGGAATTATATCAACCAATCAACCAACAAACAAGTTTTTATGAGAATGAGTTTTGTGGAGATTTTAGGAAATTTCACTGGTTGAATTCATGAGTCAGTTGAAGCTAGACCACCATTGAAAACCTGGAAGCACTGGACGGCCGTTTCGTCCTAGTATGGGACTCCTCAGCAGTGCGCATCCACGGCTGTCCAGCGCTTCCAGGTTTTCCATGTTGGTCTAGCTTCAATTGACACATGATCTCGACTATTGAAATTACTACAATCTCCACAAAACCCCTTCTGATACTAATCACCATATGCTCACTAGTGACTGGCTTCAAGAGATATATCCTGGAGTTCTAGTGAGAAGCAGTGACCAGTGGAGTTCAGCCGGGTCTGTTGTGAGATATCAGCTCACTGAAGACAATGGTGTTCGGTGGCGCAACTTCGTAGATTGGTTGAAGTTAGACATTAACACCGTTGGATGCCGGCTCAGTGGTCTAATGGTTAAGTGCTCGCGCGCGAATCCAGTAGGTCCTGGGTCCGAACCCCGCGGGGGGGCGGGTTCGTGGATGCGCACTGCAGAGGAGTCCCATACTAGGACGAAACGGCCGTCCAGTGCTCCTAGATTTTCAATGGTGGTCTAGCTTCAACTGACTCATGATTTCAACCAGTGAAACAAGTTCTTGTTGACGAAAATGTTTTCTTATAAATTACACATTCTTGGAGATAATGCACAAACAATAACAACCACAACAACAACAAAACCCGTTTTATATAAAATTACTTTACAATATCAGATACACATGTATATAGATTCAAGAAAAATTAAATCTTTGTAATACAATCCACACTCACTCCCTCACACACTCACACATACATACATACATATATACATACACATACAAACACATACAACTATACTACACAATAGTATCAGTACTTATTTGGCATTGATAAGTCTAAATAGACATAGCACATATACTTTGATTACAAATATAGATTGGATTAAACTAAACGTGAATGATTCTGATGAACTATTATCGACTATATAGATTATGTAACCTTTATATACGCACTTAAGTGTTGTCTTTCTGATCAAGGTCATTTATTTCATTATATATATATTAAAACAAAATCAGTAATTTAAGAAAATTTGATACAATTAAGAGATTAGTACATTGAACTAATAAGAATGTAAGTAAATAATCATATTGTAATTGATAAATAGTATTCTATAATGATTTTTAATTAATTTATTGAGATCATGAACTGATCATTGTTATTACTTACTACTTATTTACTTACTTATACCTGTTACTCTTAATGAAGGATAGTCCACCGACTAGCATTCTCCAATCCAATCTGTCATGGACCTTCCTCTCTAGTTCTATCCAATTCTTGTTCATTTTTCTCATGCCTATCTCCATTTCCCGGTGTAATGTGTTCTTTGGTCTTCCTCTTTTCCTTTGGCCTTGAAGATTCCATGTGAGGGTTTGCCTTATGACGCAGTTTCGTGCTTTTCTCAATGTGTGTCCTATTCACTTCCAACACTTCTTTCTGATTTCTTCCTCCACTGGAATCTGGTTTGTTCTCTCCTGCAATAAGTTGTTGCTGATAGTGTCTGGCCAACGGATCCGAAGTATTTTGCATAGACAATTGTTGTTAAACACTTGTATCTTCTGGATGATGGATTTCGTAATTGTCCAAGTTTCCGCCCCATACAGTAGAACTGTGTTGACATTTGTATTGAAAATTCTGATTTTGGTGTTGGCAGTTGACAGAGAGTTGTTTTGAGTTCCAGATATTCTTCAGTTGTAAATATGCTGCTCCTGCTTTTCCAATCCACGTCTTCACGTCTGCATCACATCCACCGTGCTCCACCTAGAGCCCCTGGGGATGCTTCCGGCCCCAAGCTCGGATAACGGAAGAGGGTCGGGCATGGGGTTAGCGACCCCATCCCGTAGAAAACTAACTCGCTAAAAAAGCACTAACCAGAAAGAGTAATTCGATCATTGTTATACTACTATGGAAAACACAAAAATATCGGATGGCCGTTTCGTCTTGGTATGGAACTTCTCATTAGTGAGGATCCATAATCCGACATATGAGATTCGAACCTAGGATCCTAGGTTTTACACACGAACGTTTAAATTTTAAATCAATGAACCGATATCCAATAATATTAATATCTAACTTTAATCAATCTACGATATTACTTGATCACCTGCGATTGTTTTCAGTATGTAATTACCTTACCCCCTACACGGTTGAAGTCTGTTAGTCACGGATTCATTGACAGAGCCATATAAACAATCGCTACTACTGTCATTGTTAAACTATTTTATGATATGTTACACAGATAATATAAAGTTTGTAGTATTGTCTGTATAGTATCATATTCACTTCATATTGAATGCTCTCCTGAAAAGTCATCCTATTCTCTCCTTACTTCCAATTCATATATGCTTCTGATAACAAATTTAGTTTCACATATTATGATTTGGTTTTAATAAAATTTCATGAGTAAACACCCGATTGTTGCTGGTACCTTGACGTGGTAGTTCGGCTTGCCTATCGTCTGTCTATCAATTAGGGGAAAAGTATACTGTGCAGCAATTCGTTTTGCTCTACTTTACAGCTGCAAAACATGAACATTAAGAGTAGAAAATACTCGTAACTTACTAGTATTTAATCACAGATACCTTAGAAATATCAGTCGCATCTGCTGGCATCACCAGGTAAGTAATAGTGAGGTTAGACAAAGGGTATAAGGGAATGATGGTAAGTCAGTTGATGAGGTTGTAAATCTTCATCGACTGAGATAGTTAGGCCACGTGTTACGTATGCCTGAATACCAATTAACACAACGCGCAATGCTGACTAGTGTTGAGGGCGGTTGGAAGATAGAGGCGGCCGAACCAAAATGTGGTATCAGTACACAAAGTTAAAAAATTCTCTTCCTTACAAGAAAGCCCCCAAATGCCCTGATACAGTCGAGGGTGGGAAGAGTCAGCTCTCCCTCTCGAAATGCTCTCACATGGACACGCGTATATAGCCACTCTCAGGGAAGTCCTATTCACTGCCTTCTCGTGGCATTACTACGGATATCTATTTAGAATATATATATAGATGAAATATACATTAGTTGATTACTGAATTGTAACCGATGCCACTATTGTCTAATACGCCACCACTCTTGTCTAATTCTGTAAATAAACTTTCAATGTAGTTATTAATCTAGTTGACTTGATACCATATGCACTATATAAAAGCATTAGATGGTGTTAATTTGTTAAAAGGATACAAATTAAATCAAAGTTTTGAGTTAGGTGTTATACTTCAGTATGAAATACCCTTAATCCTAAACAAAGTGATTCTTTCACTGAAAAAAATTCTATTCCCTAAACACAGATATTTTCACGTAGTTTATATATTAAAATGTAATTATTTAACGTCAAACTCTTTACTTATCGTATCAAGTTTACTTAACATACAAATGTAAAACCGTAATGTAGTGTTTATTGTTATGGTAACTGGGATCTATTTATGATCTAATAAGATAGAGATATTTTTATTGTATAATTGTTGAGTAACTAAGTTAAGTAATTACATATTTATGTTCCTCTTATTATAAGCATCATTTTGACCTAAAAACTATTATTATACGATTTATCGTTCTTGAGTTGTGCTTGGTCTATCAATGACTACCTCCCATATTCACAGCCACATTCGCCTTGATCTTGTACAAATGTTATTTTTTATATTTTATGATGTGATGTAATCTGTTTCGTTTATATAGAAACCCAGTATGTTTGAAATACACGATTCACATAGCAGAGGCAGAGATTGGAGTTCTAGACTCAACAGACAGTCAGGGTTAGGAAAGAAGAAGAACCGATAAAGACTATAGACTGCTCGTACGAGTTTTATGCATCATTGGTCCAGTCGATAAATCACTGTTCTCTAATTGGCGGTATCATTACATCATGTATTGATAGAAGCACAAGGCTATAAGTTATAACAGTTATAAAATACATAAAAAAGTAATTTACTTATGTTTGTATCTAACATACTGGACTGGCCGACATGTCAGCTCATTCAAATGTCAATAAAGTGGAGTTATTGTAATTTCAATAGTTGAGATGATGAGTCAATTGAAGCTAGACCACCATTGAAAACCCGAAAGCACTGGACAGCCGTTTCGTCCTATTGTGGGACTCCTCAGCAGTGCGCATCCACGAGATATTGTACATTGAGATAATTTATTATACACAAAAGGCATGAAATCTTTTTATTACCATTATTAATATCCAGAATTCAGGTAACTATGAGTTAGTTATATAACAATAAAACTGAGTATTAAACAAACAGAATCTAGAAGAGAATGGTACTGTTCGAGTCCCAGGGTGAACATCAACTCTGAGATGCAGGTACATCCAGTTGATGAGTGCCAAATAGGACGAAACGTGCGTCCTGGATTTCACTGCTAGCCACTATCCATCGTTGCTTAAAACAGAATCTATTTTAGTTGCAAGAAAACAAAACAAACACTTTTCTTTAGTTGATTATGAATAATAAACATGCATTGATTTCAATAGGTGAGATCCTGAGTCAATTAAAGATAGACCATGGAAAACCTGGAAGTACTGGATGGTTTTTTCATCCTATTGTAGAACTCCTCAGCAGTGTGTATCCACGATCCCACCCTACGAAATTTAAACCCAGGAACTATCGGTTTTGCACGAGAACGTTTAACCACTAGACCATTAAGCCGGCCGGCATCCAATGGTGTTGATGTCTAACTTTAACTAATCCACGAAATTGGGCGATACATCCACCATGGTCATCAATGAGTTAATATCTCACAACAGAATCTGCTTCTTACTAGAACTCCAAGAAATACCTCTTTGAGACCGTCATTAGTGAACATATGATGATTTTAATCATATAAGGATTTTCTGTGGATATTATAGTAATTTAATAGTTGAATTAATGAATCAATTGAATCTAGTATGGAACGGCTGTCCGGTGCATTCAGGTTTTTCATGGTGTAGGATTCAAAATAGCTTGTGACTAAAAGTTATATCAAGGCAATCCTTATAGGATGCATATATGCCAACAGAAAACTGAGCAATTGAAGTCCCAACACAACAATGGGAAGATAAAAGCAAACATTACTAAGTGAATTTAAACTTCACTCCATTTCACAAACAAGTGGCTATTAAACCTCAGTAGCTAAGTGGATAATACGATGGTGTTTGAAGCGGACAATACTGCGTTCGTGTCCCAGAGTGAACATCAATTCTGCAATGCAGGTACATCCAGCTAATGAGTTCCAAAGAGAACGAAACACGTGTCAAACCGGATTTCATTGCTAGCCACTATCCATCTTTACTTAAAAAGCTTGTTACCTAAGACAATATCGAGGCAATTCACACAGTATGCACATATGTCAATAAGAGACTAATCAATTGAGGTCCTAAGCACCAGTGAGAAGATACACATAAACCAACATCAAGTAAATTTACTAGATATTTTAGGATTATAACATTTTTAATAACAAATAATCGGTAGTATGTTTGTTTATGTTAATCTCTACTACAAATTGGATATAGTTTGTTAGGATGAGATCAATATTGAGATCATGTTTACTTCAGTGTATCATTAAATCAACCATTAATATTACGTAATATTTGTATGTTATTCAATTGATATGACGAATGACGTACTATTGATATGATGGTTATTCAATAGAATATTCATTTTGATTAATTAAGTGTAATTCTATAGTGAACGAGAACACAAGTGGGTGACAATCGAATGTATTTGAGTACACAAATTATAGGACATCTTAGTAAAATCTAAGGACCATACAGTAAAGACTTCATTTGCAAAATGTCAACCAACCGTTACATGGTGGTTGGAAGTAGCCGACAAGAAACCTTGGAACCGGATTTCGTGTTACTTGGCACTCGTCAGAAAGGTGTACCTGTATTCTTGAGGAAACTGGTGCTCCCTGGCAGATTCGATCCCAGCTTCACAGTCGAGACGTTACCACTGAGCTATCCGAGCAGCGACTGACCTCCTGTAGGACTGAGATATAGTCGCGATTGATTGATCATTGGGTGGTGATCAATGTCATGTATGTCATGTCCTTATTTAGTGCAGATCGAATGCTATCGACCATTAAATTTGCTAAGATAGTAGACAAATATAACAAGTTGATTGATGAACCTGTAAATTTTCATTAAATGAGGTAGCTAAGACGTATAGTACATTTGGTTAACTATTGTTCACATCGATGGACTAAGTTTACTGGTGTAGAACTAGGTTAGAAGAACACTTAGGCTATATATACATATAGTTGATATATGTAACTAATAAGTGGTTTTGGTTATATTTGATAAGATTCAACAAAAATGGATAACTGAACGGTTATCTGAATCACAATTAGTTAGAACAAAGTTATCAGTATGTAAGAAAAACTAACGACTATACAATATTAACACTTGACTAAACAATACAACAAGATAAACTAGATCAAAGCAATTTAAATAATGTAGGACAGTAGTGGAAAAGAATACTAGCGGAGTACAGTCGAATGTATTGGAACACAAAATTACAGAACATCTTAGTCAAATCTAAGAACCATACAGGAAAGACTTCATTTCCAAAATGTCAATCAATCGTTTCAAACTTGACTGTTCCTTCTGCAAAATATCAATCAAACATCTCACACTTCATTGTTCTTTCGTCTCAACACCAATCATTCTCTGTTCTCGTCTTCTTTTCTTCAATCTTCTTAACCTTCTCTTACCAGGTATTTCACTTCTCGATTAATGGTAAATACTACTTATATTTATCGATATCAGTAGCAACAATGTAGTTGATTAAAATATAATATGAGCATACCTTAGAATGATGAGAAAACGGTTCAAATAAAGTTTCAAGACTAAATAAACAAACTTAATGTAGGAAATCGAATTACTTAGGAAGTTTAGTTGTAATATTCAGAGAATACAACTGTTTTAGCGAGTCCATCTTGTAAGTAGATATAGACTACGTGATTGAATTTTACACAATACTCATAATCAATGATTAAAGATGACATTGTTCAAAATAGTTCCTTTCGTTAGGATCCGAAGTTTCTGAATTATTTGTTTTGTTTTTCATCCATATCTTCTATTTCTTATCTTTCCTAATACTACTACTACTGCTAATATTGCTACTACTTTTGCTATCCTTTGATTTGTTTTAACAACTTTATCTTGTTATGCTAACAGCTTGTAACCATATGAGCCAATTCACATATACTTCTGATTGTATATAGTGTTTAATTGATTGATTGACTAATTATCGGTTTAAGGGTTGTGGAGATTGTCAGGTTTTTGTTTGAAATCATGAGTCAATCGAAGCTAGACCACCATGGAAAACCTGGAACCACTGAAAGGCCGTTTCGTCCTATTGTGAAACTCTTCAACAGTGCGTATCCACGATCCCGCACCCCGCCAGATTGGAACCCAGGACCTACCAGTCCCGCGCCATGTGCTTGACCAACTAGACCACTGAGCCGGCATCCATTGGTGTTAATGTCTAACCTCAACCAATCCACAAAATTGCGCGACCATTTTCCACTGTACTGAAGTAGACACCTGTTTCTACCTGACACGGATTAGCTCCACTGGTCACGGCTTCTCACCAGAACTCCGAGAATTTTCTCACGAAGCTAGCCACTAGTGAGCACATGGTAATTATCAGTTTAGGGATTGTGGAGATTGTTAAGTTTTTGATTGAAATCATGAGTTAATTGAAGCTAGACTATCATGGAAAACTTGGACGAAACGGCGGTCCAGTGCTTCCAAGTTTTCTATGATTAACTGATTGATTGATTGATAATCAATGTTTAACATTTGACTTGAAATTATCCTAGGTGAATTGAATAACTTTAGTTGTTACTTGGTGTTAATCAAAAAGAGTTGAAATTTATTGTTTGTTCTTTATTCTTAATGAAATAAGTAAACGAAGGAATGAATTGTTACCATTAAAAAATAATCATTTATTTTAGGATAAGTCATCAAACTGGACCAAGTATTACATTCCCTGATCGTATTAGCGCTGAAAATGATGCAGAACAATTACATAACGCTTGTAAATTACTGTGTAAGTATACATAAAATTAAATATGCTTTCATTATTATATTTGTAAATCACATTTGTTCCCTTCCAATTATGTGTTTATTGTTGATTAAATAACGATAAAATGTCATTAAGTGACTGTATATCCGTTGGTTTGGATCTATTCTTGTACAACCAATAGTAGTTGGCTGTTTCAGTTCTATTTATTTAAACACATAAACATTAGCACAAGCAGGTACTAAATAGACATGTGCCACACAAACCACTCGATTTATGAGTGAGGGCTAGGATAATGCTCGGGTGCCCAAACCGAAGCAGGTGGTTTTCTTAGAGGGCCATATTACGAGCCTTCGACCTAAAAGTGTGATCCACAAGGCAGTGAAGCAACGTCAAGAGATACAGTCCCATGGTAGCCGATGAATAACGATTGCCTCATATGCCATCTGCTCCTTCAGGATACTGGAGCCCATGTGCACCATTGGTTTGGAATCAGGGTTTTCCAACTCCCCTAAGTGGACTCTGCGTGTCCACTAACCTGGTTAAAGCGCCGGACATTCGCTTTTCATCATCTCAATTCCGTAAACAACAGTAATGACACGAGAAGTCAGTGAGTAGGACTTCCCTGACAGTGGTTGTATTCACGTAGCTGTGTGATTGTATTTCGAGAGGGAGAGTTGACTCTTTCCGCCCTCGGCTATACCAGAATGATGATGTACTGAATAGTGTTAGGTATTATAGTAGACTGAATAATGAATAATCTGGTATTTTCTAAGCTTTAAATGAGATTTAAATCAGCATTTCATGGTGATGCACATGAAATTATATTGATCAGTTCATTTGTTCCTCCTGTTATTCAACATTTATCGGATTCACAAAGTATTGTTTAAGATGAGTTTTTACAGTGTATCCTTCTTAGATTTTAGGAGTGATAGCCTAAATTCATCAACATATTGATTCACGATTTATATTATATCACGTTGTGATATGCACTACTGATATCGATAGATATAAGTAGTATGTATCATCAATCGATAAGTGAAATGTCTGGTAGCAGAAGGTTAAGAAGATCGAAGAAAAGAGAACGAAAACAAAGAATGATTGATGTGGAAACGAAAGAACAATAAAGTCTGAGACGATTGATTGACAATTTGCAAATGGAGTATCTACTGTATGAATCTCAGATTTTACTAAGAGATTCTGTAATTTGTATGTTCAAATACATTCGATTGTCCCTATTTGAATATTTGTCCATTACACAAGATTGATTGATGAAGACTATGTTATCATATTTGAAGAACAAATGATATGCTAAAGTCTATCTAATTTGAATTCAAACAATTAATGAAGATTGTACTGAATAATCTCTGAGATGATGGAGATGATTTGTAGTTCAAGTGGATGATTTTGTTAAAGTTTTGTTCTATCCTTGATTTGAAATGAGATACCTTGAAACTTAAAGATTAAGTAACACTAAAAATGATCTCAACTAATCAAATAGAAATGAATCAATAAATCAGCTATTCACTTATAACCCTGATTACTCAACATGTTCAAACTTGTTGTTACCTATTAACACATTACTGTTTTTTGGATACTTAATCTATAAAGCTTCATTCTTAATTTACCTCTTACTTGAGAATATCATTTAACCAAGATATCGATCATGGTCAGTAAGCAAAAAAGATAGTTTTTATTGAAGTTTTGTTCACTGAAATGAATGGTTTAGTCGTGGAGCATCAGTGCGAACTTCAGGTAGAAGTCGTTCAGAAGAATGATTAAAGCTCCACGATCAAATCATCCAGATCAAACAACAAAACTCCATAACAATCATCCACCTGAGCGACAAATCTACTCCACCATCTCAAAAAAAAGTTAGTCAAACTAACTAATAGATTAACAAATTTATCGTATATCACTCTTTACTTATCTATCACAAATAGAAATAACCAAGGCAGTCTGCTTGAATAACTGAGCTACATGTTCCTACCATCTAGATATTTCAACAAGTTTTGTTTTAATACATCATTATGTCTATTAATGGCATAACCTATTTAGTTGTGATGATGAAAATTTTACGACATTTAGTTCTACAAGTTATAAAAAAGTAAAATAAGAAACATCATAGTTGCTGCCTATATGCATCGAAACGAATGTACATTATTTAGATGTCGATTCCTGGACTGCTAACATCTAACTGGCGTCCGCTGAATATTTGTCGTCAGGATCGACCAAGAGATAAGAAGACGGAAACTTATTGAAATACAATGTGCTGACAATTCTATATTGTACTAAAATACATAATATTGAATAAAGCCACTAATAATAATAATATCATAAAGGGTTTTCGAGGATATTAGTTGAGATCATGAGTCAATTGAAGCTAGACTGCCATGAAAAACCTGAAAGCATTGGATAGCCGTTTCGTCCTATTGTGGGAATCCTCCGTGGTAGTGCGCATCCACTTCGCAAGATCCGAACCCAGGACTTATCATTCTTGTGCACGAACGATTAACCTCTAGACCATTGAGCTGGCCGTCATCCAATGATGTTAATGTATAACTTCAACACATACTACTAATAATAATAATTTACATAATTGTTTACATTTCACAAAACTATTTACTGGAAAGATTAACCGCTTTGTTAATAATTATTAGATATATTTACTCATTTATTCTATTTTAGCTACGGATGAAGAAACCATCACTAAAATTCTAGGACATAGAAATCTACAACAACGTTATCAAATAAGAGAAACTTTTCATAGGCGATATAAAAAGGTAAAGTGTTTCACCTTTCATTTCAACTTTTATCATAATACTGAGTAAATAGTTGCTATGGATTGATCTTCCGATTTTATGACATAACAAGCATGTTTACACTATACTAATCTACTGATACTCAGAATCAGAAAACGCTATAATTTTCGTTCTAAATGTTGATGTAGATGAAAATGTCTTACTTAATTTACATAAGTATAAGACAAAGACAGAAACCGCAACGAGACTGCTGAAAACCTTAGGAATAGGTGTGGCACACAAACCGACAAAATCACTACAATCAATCCTATGCTAACCAAAGGATGAAAAAACAAAGGAAAACAAATCAAACATCATCTAGACTGCAGGTTTTGATAAGCAGCGTTTTATTGATCGGCTCTGTGACAGTGGACACGTAAACACGTACGGACGACCTAGTGCCCCGATTGGCCCTGCTTCGCTGTCTGTCCTAGCCAGTTGAGTCATTATATTTCAAACATACTTTGTTTATATACCAATCAAGCATACCACATCGTACCATAAAAATAGAAAACAACATTTTGTACAATATTCAACAAGTGAACAGATATCGACCAATAGGAAATGTCCATTTAAAGTCCAAGGACGCCATTGGACTTAACATCATAATTATTGGTCTATTTTTCCGCATCCACAACACATCTACAAAATAAATTGTACCAACTGCGACAAACACTATATCGAACAAAGCGGACGCCCCCTCCACCTTCGCCTACACGAACATCAACTAGCAGTCAAACGCCATGATATTTCTTAACTTATATCAATACACGTGGATAACTGCTGACACTCATTCGATTGGAAAAATGTAGAAATCTTAGACAGAGGAAACTCCAAAAACATCAGAGAATTTTTTAGAAGCCTGGCACTCAGATCAATCAGCAATCAACAAACATATTGAAATCAATCCAATTTACCAACCAATCAGAAAAATCATGCACAAATATAGGAACAAAAACCAAACCAATGGAAGATAAAACCAAAACAAAGAACTAAATAATGACAAATTTAAAGGGCAATAAGAACCAATCAACATCGAGGTGCACAGAACAAGCTGTGAAAAACATATGGAGAAATTCGAACACTTCACTTCTATCTGAAGTTTTTCCTGGTGATGTCGTTCAGAATTACGATGAAAGCTCCACGACCAAACCATCCAGCTCAGAGAAAAAAACTTCACCAAAAACAAATAAATTACATTTTTGTTGAAGTTTTGTTCTGTAAGCCAAGTGGTTTAGTCGTGGAGCTTTCATCATTCTTCTGAACGAAATCATCAGCACAAACTTCAAGTACCTGAGCTACAAATCTTCTCCATCATCTAAGAAATTACATTTGCTAAGTACTATGTTTCTAATCAGATAACAATATGAAGTTAATTATATGTCCTAGGACTATGTTACCTGAATACATTGTCTTTACGATCATTCAGTTCAAATTCATAAACAATGAGAAGGATGTCATCGAAAGTATTTACAGTACATTTACATCTGAGTGTTTCTCTAGAAAATGATAATTTAAAAAATGGGAGAATACAATCAATAAACTTTGTAAGAAAAGATGGATAGTAACTAGCAATGGAAACCAGGACGCATATTTCGTCCTGGATTTACCTGAATCTCGCAGCTGATGTTCACTCTGGGACTCGAACCCAGTACCGTTCGCCTCAAATGCCATCACGTTAACCCAAATAAGAAGAAACGCGCGTTAAACTGGATTCCACTACTAGCCACTATCCAGCTTTGATTAAAAAGCTTGTGACCTAAGGCAATATCGAGGCAATACGCACAGTATACACATATGTCATTAAGACACAGATCAATAGCAGTCCTATATAGCAATGGGGAGATTCAAGTAAACAATACCAAGTGAGTTTAAATAAACTCTGTAGTAATCATAATGAGTACGGTATCTTATGAGTTGTCAAAAGAAAGGGTACATTTTCAATAGCTAGATAAGACCAACTTACAGCATGAATTATACATTAGAATATAACAAGTGAATCAAATACAACAATAATGAAAATTCATCAAGTGTTACATCATGAAAATAGGCTTTCCAAAATAAAACGACTGTCACAAAGGCCTAAACGCATTGATCTTGATCTTCAATGTGTTTTGAGAGGTTACATATACTGAGAGTTCTATCTCAAGACAAACGAGTTCTCCAGTGTTTACCAATTTCCAATAACTGTTTGAACAATTTCATTATTATTAATAGTTGAATTCATGAGTCAATTAAAGCTCGACCACCATGAGAAACCTAGATGCACTGAGTGGCGATTTCGTCCTAGTATGGGACTCCTCAGCAATGCTCGCCCACGATCCTACCGACGGGATTCGAACCCAGGATCTATTGAACTTGCGAACGAACTCTTAATCTCTAGACCACTGAATCAATACTATTAATTAATCAGATTCATGAATTATTTCTTCTTTTCTGAATTAACATTTTTTCTTTGAAAGGATTTAGTTCATGTATTATGTAATGCAACAAAAGGTGATTATGAAAGTCTTATTAAAACTTTATTTCGTGGAAGTATACAAATATTAGCCCATGATTTATATAAAGGCTTAAAGAAACCAGATATTGTCAATGAGATCATCTGTTGTTGTAATAATAATGAAATTATTATGTTGAAAAAAGCATATCAAGAAGGTAAATGTGAATTTTCATTGATTTTGTTGTTTGTTTATTTTCAGAAAGGGGGTGTTGTGGATATTATAATTGAGTTTATGAGTCAATTAAAACTAGATCATCAATGGAGAAAACCTGGAAGCAGTGGATGGTCGTTTTGTCCCGCAGGACGGGATCATGGATGTGCACTGCTAAGGAATCCCACATTAGGACGAAATGGCCGTCCAGTGCTTCCCAATTTTCCATGATGGTCTAGTTTGTTTATTTATTGAAATGATAATGTAATGAACAAGAACAGAAGTTGGAACAGCCAAGCACATTTGAATATAAAATTACAGAACATCTTAGTAAAATCTGAGAACAATGCACTTTAACTGTGTCGGTGGTTATGGAGGATCCTTTGGGGAGTCGGAAAACCCTAATTTTAAACCAACGTTCTACATGGGCTGCAGTATCTCGAAGTAAGAAGTGGTGTATGATACAATTATTGGTCACTGGCTACTATAAGAGTGTATCTCCTTACTTTGCTTCACTGCCTTGTGAATCAGACATTTAGGTCGAAGATTCCGGGTGTGGCTCCCTAAGAAAACCACCTGCTTTGGTTTGGGCACCCAAGAGATATCATAGCCCACACATAAATCAAGTGACTTGTATGGCGCATATGTATTCAGGGCCTCTTTGTACCAATCTATCTGTGTTCAAATAAAAACATAATAAGTATTAGTGAAATGTGTTGCTTGCCTATTACATAATTCATTGTATTATTAACCATTTAAGAAATCTGTTAGCTAAATAACTCTTTATTATAAATATGTTTATCTTGATTCTATTTATATAGTGCTTCAGGAAGAAGAGCCAAAAAGTAAGGATTTTTAATATTTACGTCTAAAATATTTTTCATATTAACATTATACTATTTATAAGTAGTTAATGGAAAAGCATCAAATTTTTAAGATTTTTTCTTTCGACTGCAATTTCAAAGTAGAGAGACTATAATTTATGAACGAATCAATTAGATATAAGATAGCAGGTCTTAGAATTTGGCGCGAAATTCATTCAAACATTTGACTAAATAGAGTTTTGGCAATTTATCTGATGTTAATTCGTGATGAAAACTACAAAAATCTAATTCGTAACCTTAACCATCGACTGTTAATCACGATTCTAATTTTCCACACCGGTTTATAAGCCTCATTTTGTCTTAGTCAGTAGGTAGACACTCTCAAGGTCGTGAAAGGTTGAAAAAATCAATTAAGTAATAAATTATTCAAAAAAATTCCATACATTCTGTTGAGAATGCCTTATCTGAATTTTAGACTATTATGAATTCAATAGTTGAGTTCATGAATCAATTAAATCTAGACCACTATGGAAAACCTGGAAGCACTGGAAGATTGTTTCGTCCAAATATGGGACTCAGCAGCGCGCATTCATGATCTTTCTGGAGGAATTTGTACCCAGGACCATCCGTTTCGCGCGCGAGCGCTTAACCTTTAAATTCTAACACAATAAGTGATGAGAACTTAATTATTCGTTCGTTGTAATCAGTATATTATCAATAAATCATTGAGTTTTATCTATCTGTTTATGTATCAGGATGTGCTTATTATTCAGTATCAATGCTGAGTATCATCCTTAATCCAAACTTGGTCTCCTCTTATATCGTTTGATACCACTATCAAGTTTTTTTTTGAGTTAGAAAGTTAACGAATCGTTATGTTCGAACAGTTTCACCGATGGATCTGACTGAAAACTAAGGAATAGTGTAGTAAAGTATGAGACCGTGAATTCAACCCTTAATGTTGGAGGTTGGATTTACAAGTTGTACTTCTCATCCAACAAATTAGGATTAAAATAAGTTAATTTGACTTAAGTACGAAATGTTCCTATTTTAAAGACAATGACAGTTTAATGGTCAACAATAATTAATCAAGATCGAAGTCTACAAGATAAGTTAAGTCATATATGAAGAAATTCAAACACTTCAATTTTACCTGAAGTTCATGCTGATAATGTCATTCAGAAGAACAATAAAAACTCCACAATCAAGCCATCCAATTCAGAGATCAAAACTTCTTCCACATTGTTTAATGAATTGCTTGTTACATTTTCTTCTATTAACACTTGTCGATCAGCTTCATGTCGATCGATGACTAAAGTTGAAAACAATACACATTTACTCACTTTTAATGGCAAACATGATCACAGGATACTATGAAACTTATTTATTTTCTCTCAATACTATTCACAAATGAACCCTGTTGGTATAATGTTATATCAAAAGAAAATCATGTCAAAGAATGATAGGCGGGACTTTAATTTATGGACGAGCCAATCAGAAGCGTTTTAGAGACTTCAAGGTTACGGCGCCAACTTCAGTGCTTTATGCTAACGTACGATCGGTTCACAGGCAATTTTGTATAAAGCGTGATAATTGAGCAGTTATGTGCATCATGTCGTTATCCACAAGTAGCATTTTGTGCACTCAACAACCGGAGTGCACATAAACAATATTGAAGCTATGTGGTCGAGGGTGAAAGTTTTTGAGACTTTACCATGGCTCCAGAGGCCGACTATTCCGTAGCTATATGGATGATTTCCTCTACTGAATGCATTACGACATTAGATCCTCTGAACCTCTTTCTAACCTTGACAAGTTTTTGAACCACGTATAAGAAGTGTATCCACTTTATTTCCTTGGTTTTGTATAACACATTTTTACTCAATATTGACTGTTTGCTGATTGTCTAATATTTGTCAAGGTGGCTTAAGATTCGTCCAAAGGTCGTCCATAAATTAGAGTCTCGCCGAATGACTTAAAATGTATGCCACCTATAAAATATAATACAATTAACGATAAGACCATAATTTATGAACGACCTTTAAGTGACACCAAAGTGACCTGGAAAGTGTTTACCTACTTACCAGAGCTAAATGAGGGTTATAAAGCAGTCTGAAGAATAAGGATTATGATTAAGGTTAGGGATTAGATTTACGCTTTTTCATCATAAATTGACATCAGCTAAAATGTCAAAACTCTATTTATCCAAATGAATGAGTGAATTTCACGCCAAAATCCGAGACATATTATCTTAAATCTGATTGGTTCGTTCATAAATTATAATCTGGCCTATATATCAGTCAGTCAGCAACAAGGTAGAACTTCTTACGTACATAAATCAGTTCAAGTTGCCATACCACATTAGGACATAGATACAATTGTCGACTTAAATCCCATAGTGGTATATGTAGTAAGAGTATAAGCAGTAATCAGAAACATTAGGGTTTGAAGATGTTATTCAGAGAGTATAATCCAGTAAAATAGATTTGGAAAGAGATAAAATAAGGAACATGAAGAATTCAGAAGACTAGAATTTGGGAGAACACAAAGAGTGGATACACCTGCGCCAAAACTTACTCCAAAATCAAAGACCCGTTATCTTAAATCTGTTCGGTTCTTCCATAAATCATAGTTTTGCCCAATGAACTAAATATCTAATAAAACATATTGATAATATATTCATTGAATAAATGACTACATTTACTATCTTTATGTAGAAGCTTCACAGCGTACACTCGAAACTGATATAATCAAAGAAACAAAACCACCATATGAACAATTATTAGTAGCATTATTACAAGGAAAACGTGATGAAGATCCATTGGAATTAGTAGAAGAAGCTGTAAGAACTAGAAGTACATCAAGATTAATTAATCGAAGTCAAGTTGAAAAAGATGTTGAAGATTTATATTATGCTGGAGAAAAGTAAGTCTACTAATAATAACTAATCAATATTTGATTTGATTTCGTTAAAAGAAGATTGACCAAGACATACATATGAAGAATACAAAACTTGATGAGTGTAAATGAATAGAAAGGTTAATTAACCATAATCAGTAATAATCTATTCATATTACTATCCGAAACTATTACATAACAGTGTTTACTTGTTAGATGGTGGTTGGAGATAGTCGACAAGAAACTTTGGACCCCGGTTTCGTCCTACTTGGTACTCGTCAGCAAGGTGTACTTGTATTCTTGAGGGAGCTAGTGCTCCCTGACAAGTTCCATCCCGTGTCACCCAACTTTACAGTGAGAGACGTTACCGCTGAGCTATCTGAGCCGTGATCGACCTCCTGTAGGACTGAGGTGTAATCACAATTAATTGATCGCTAGGTGGTGATCAGTGTCATGTGTGTCAAGTGCTTATTAGTGCAGATCGAATGCTGTCGACCATGTTGCAATGTAACCACCAGTCTAGGTGACTCGACACTGCGTGCACTATGTTGAGACGTTACCACTGAGCTATCCGGGCCACGCGACATGTTAATCAGTCTTCACAGACTTCACTGTTTCCTTCTTTCCACAGCAATCATTCTCGGTTGTGGTTCTTTTTATTTTGGATCTTCTTAACTTTCTGCCATCAGGTATTCCACCTTTGATCGTTGACATATACTACTTATATCAGTCAACATCAGTAGCACACGCCATAATGTTACTTACTTACGCTTGTTACTTCCAATAGAGCATAGGCCGCCGACCAGTACACAGTGATACTATATAAAGATTATATTGTTGATCCGCAAACTGATATAATTTCAATATATGAATCATTGACAAGTTTAAAACATTGTATTTAGTGAAAATCTGGAAAGCCTTTAACTTGATCTAGTATTTCATCATAGATGTACACAATTCATGAGTACTTAACTAAGTGAAAATACGTTCCCAACATTTTTTAAAAACATTTTTCACCTCCCTCTAACTGATTTCTGTGACGACAGACCACGGGTGAACTCGAGAAAGCTGTAGGAGGCTCAGAAGGAGCCGGAGATATTCCATCCAATAACCATTTGGAAGAATATTCTAGAACTCCTACGTGTAGCTTCCCGATTGGACAATGCTAATGACCCCCCGTATGCGGATTGGAGGAGTGTAATGATGATTTGGTTCTCACTAAAAACTGTAAATGCCTGACAATTTTGTACTGTAATTGACACTGTTAGGAATAATATTCCTTTCATTAGTCTTCTGTCTTCTCATTGAAACTTGGAAGGGTTTTGGAGTCCTAGTGCTCACGTTATACGCGGTATATCAAGAACAACCTTCTAGATATAACAATTTCACTTAGTGACAAATATTACTTACTTTCTGCTTAATAATACCATTACCATAGACTTCATTCATTAACATCATATAGTATATTGATTAAATCAATTCCTATTATCTTTTTTATTGTGTGTGTGTGTGTGTGTGATATAGACGTGCAGGTAAAGGTGATTCTGAAACATTCATTAAAATTCTAACAAAACGAAGTAAATATCATGTAAAAGAAATATGGGATGTATATTTATCAGTAAGTATGATATACAAAATAAAGATAATTAATATAATTAATAATTACGTAATATAATTTTTGATTGCCATCAACATTTGACTCCAGCTAGATCGTATGAATGATCGCTAGTGAAATAGACGTATCATCAATCATCAACTTAACTTGCATTAGTGAATAATGGAATTAAATAAGTCAAAGACGAGAATAGATGTTTGAACACGTATACTTGATATAATCGTTGATTGGAACAGACAATTAGAGGGACGAAGCCCCCAAATGCCCTGGTACGGTCGAGAGTGGGGAGAGTCAGCTCTCCCTCTCGAAATGCCCTCACATGGCCACGCGTATAGAGCCTCTGCCAGGGAAGTCTTACTCACTGCCTTCTCGTGGCGGGGGTGTTGTTTACGAACGTGAGAACACGAAAAGCGAACGTCCGGCGCTTTAACCGGGTTGGTGGATACAGAGAGTCCACCTGGGGGAGTTGTATAATCCTGATTCCAAACCAGTGGTGTACATGGGCTCCAGGATGCTGAAGGAACAAATGGCGTATGAACCAATTGTTGGCCACCGGCTACCATGGGACTGCATCTCCTTACGTTGCTGCACTGTCTTGTGGATCGGACCCTCAGGTCGAAGGCCCCCTAAGATAACCATCTGCTTCGGTTTGGGCACCCGGGTAGTATCACAGCCCTCACACATATTAAATGAGATATGTGTGGCGCATATGTATTTGGTGCCTCCTTGTACCAATATCTATGTGTTAAAATAAATAAAATAAATAAATAAATAAGCGAAGAAGGCATATAAGCCAATTCAATTTAATCAAGCGTTAATATTTGGGCTATCTGTTCTTGTCATTTAGATATTTCAACAAGTTATCAGTTTTCTTATTTGTTTGTTTTAACACATCACTATGCCTATTAGTCTCATAACCTATTTAGCTTAATGTGTGAAACGTTTATGACCATTTTGCTGTACAAGTTATAAAAGAGCGCCGTCACAGATATCGTGTTTGCTGACAATGTACATCGAGAAGAATGAACACTATTCAGATGTCGATTCCTGAACTGCTAACACTTAACTGGCGATTACTCAATAGGTTATCATCATGATTGATCAATTAAGAATGGGAACTTGTTCGAAATACCTCGTGCTGGGAATTTTATATTATACCAAAAGATATATTATTGAATAAAGCCATTCATAATAAAAACATTAAAAAAACATTCTGGTTATTATATTTCAATACCTTATGAATATATTCCATTCCAATGTAACTAGATAAAAACTGGTTTGTAATTACATTGCTTACCTTCAATTCAAAACTCCACCTGGGACCCCTCTGGGGTTGCTGTCGATCCCAAGCCCGGACAAAGGAAGGTTGGGCATGAGGTTAGCGACCCCATCCCGTAGAAAACTAACTCGCTAAAAATTTTTAACTCTGAATTCAAATTAGACAATAAGTTTTTAATAGATCTTATTGTTAGGAAAAGTAATTTTTACCACTAATTAGCACAGATTGAAGAATTATTAACCAACAAAGATCACAGGACTGTTATTGTATTCTATCTTTTAGTTTCTCAGTACTGCATATTAAGGGGTCTAGTAGAAATGCAAATGACAACATTCACATTTCCTTACGAAAATTATACTTACTCACTTACTTGTTTGCTTCCTTACGTCTGTTATCCCTCATGGAGTAGCATAGGCCGTCCACCAGCACTCTCCATACAACTCTGTCCTGGGCAATCCTTTTAATATCTACTTTCAATTCCTGACGCACTGTATTGTTTGGTCTCCCTCTTCTCCGTTTCCCTTCACGATTCCAAGTTAGAGCTTGCTTCATGATGCAGTTTGATGATTTCCTCGATCTATATTCTATCCATTTCCAATGTCTTTTCCTAATTTCTTCTTCAGCTAGAAGTTGGTTTGTTCTCTCCTACAGTAGGCTGATGCTGGCAGTATCTGACCAACGGATATTCAGTATCCTACGTAAACAACTATTTATAAATACTGATACCTTTCTGATGATGACTGTAATAGTTCTCAACGTTTTAGTTCCAAGTAACTAATCTGAAACTAACCTAAATAAAACACTGAAAAATCACTGAAGTGATCATTTCATCAAAATCATATTTGATATATAACTTAAATAATAGAAACTATTCTATATGTTATAGTTGTATATGCCATTTATATTCTATTTATAGAAATATCATAGTACAATAGTTGAAGTTATATCGAAAAAGTTCTCTGAGCCATTTAGATCAGGATTAAATACAATGAGTAAGTGAAATATTTTCAAAATTTATTTTCCATTTCTATATATGAATGTATTTTTTTTCATATTTCAATGTTCCCGGTGGTTGGTTTTCTTAGGGGGCAACACCTAGAGCATTTGACCTAAAGGTATAATCTACTAGGCAGTGAAGCAACGTAAAGCGATGCAGTCTAATGGTAACTAGTGACCAACAATAGGTTCATACGCCATTTGTTTACTTAAGATTCTGGAGCTCATATGCACCATTGGTTTGGGATCAGGATTTTCCAACTCCCCTAGGTAGATCCTCCATATCCACCAACCCGGTTAAGACCGATGCCGGACATTCGCTTTTCGTCCTCTCAACTTCGTAAACAACACCCCCACCACGAGAGGGTAGTGAGTAGGAATTACCTGGCAGTAGATGTATGCATGTGGCCATGTGAGAGTGTTTCTGGAGGGACAACTGACTCTCCCCACTCTCAACTGTACCATGGCAATTTCTTATCATGAGATATATAAAATACTGTTTAACAGTAAAATTTATTGCAGATAAAGGAAGTTGAAAGGCTGTTTGTCTGATATCGGACACCAAGTAAGGATTACATGAATTCATATATTGCCACATGAACAGTTAGTGTTGTTATCAAGAGCTATATCATCTGAAATCGTTACGATACTTTTTATTCATACTAATACACATATGATATAGACTAATATGAAGTGTAATGAACTATAGATTGATAGTATGTAATTCATGATAAATAAATTGTCAATTGATTCACTTGGTATTGTTTTTACTTGAATCTTCCCATTGATTCAATTAAGGCAATATCGAGGCAATACGCATAGTATGCACATATGCCAATAAGAGACTGATCAATTTCAGTCCTAAACATCAATGGGACGATTCAAGTAAACAGTACCAAGTGAATTTAAACTTCACCCCATCGCACAAGCAGGTGGCTATCAGGTCTCAGTAGATAAGTGGATAACGCGATGGCGTTTAAAGCGAACGATACTGGGTTCGAGTCCCAGAGTGAACTTCAACTCTGAGATGTAGGTACATCCAGCTGACGAGTCCCAAATAAGAAGAAACGCGCGTCGTACTGGATTCCACTACTAGCCACTATCTATCTTTGCTTAAATTGTCATTTAGTTATGGTGCAGATTCATAAGATAGGATTTGAGCTAGACCTATTTATAGACTCCTGTAACAGACAATAATATACCCTGATGATTCTTATGACATGAATCATTCAAAAACAACAAAGGTCTCTCATGACTGATCAATTAAACTGGCAAAATATTACAGTCATACAAATGAGAGTACTGATTAATTATTCATGGAATCATAACTGAACGTATTTTATAAGAAAAGAAATTAACCATCTAACTGATTACATATTAATAACAACTGCCATTTCTATTTTTAAAAAAACGTTCAATCGAAATAGTATGACTTATCCAATTAATAGTGAGAACGAAAGCTAGTCACAACCTGTTAAAAGAAGTAAGAGTATGGTTTATTAGCATAACGACAAAATAGATAAAGTAGATCTGTATCTGGCTATTGGATAACAAATTCTTGTATGCTTTCTCTGAATCATTATTAAGTTGTAGTGAACGAGAACAGAAGTTTGGACAATCAAATGTATATGAATACAATACTACCTACAGAACATCCTTAGTAAAATCTAAGAACTATACAATCAATATTTCATTTGAAAAATGTCTCAAATTCCATTGTTCGTTTATTTCCATACCAATCACTCTTAGTTCTCATTCTCTTCTGTTTGATCTTCTTAACCTTCTGCTACCAGGTGTTTCACTTTGGATTAATGATATATACTACTTACATATGTCAATATCAGTAGCATACATCATAAAGTCATATCCAAAAACAACTGAATAAGTATGAAATAATCATTTCAAAACTGTAACTTTTTACAATTCATGAATAGTTGACAACACTAGCAAGGTGTTCAATTCAATTTAATCTAACTATAAAACTTCGATAATGTAATAAGAAGACGAAAATTATCAGAATTATTTGGTGTATTAGCCCAATACATTTCGAACAATCTGATCACGCATATACTGGTTAAGCGCATTTACATATAAAAATAAAAGGTCAACTAGACTGGAAATGAGGTAAGAGGAGATAAGGATAATGATAAGAGTAATAATAATAATAATGTGGAGACAATTCGAAACCTAATCACTCTGGATAATAAGTCAATATTACCAGGATAGGTTTATGGTAAGAACACCATCTCAGGAACAAACTGTTTTTGAACACACAAAGGGGGTTTGAATTTTCGTATGGCTAAGGCTTCAATAAACCTTAGTATACGCCCTTTTACAACAACACAAAAGCCGAGTTAAGATCAATTTTATGGCCTATTTCGATTATATGTTTAGCAATAGAGGATAATGGATGTTTATCCTCTGCTCTTATTGGGTCACGTGATTGTATTTGTTTCTCCAATCATTTTGGTACACACCCTAATTTTGAGATCACGATTGCTCCTCCCTATGTGTGACCACACACACATTTAAATTGGTAAACACAGTGGGATGTGACACAATCGTTTTCATGTCTTTTAGGTTATGGATGAAGCATGCACCTTGTTCTTTCTTTGATAATGACCTTTGCTGCGCAATACGTTTTGTTGGTGACTGATTTAAGTCTTTGTTTCTGTGACGACGGACCACCGGTGAACTCGAGGAAGCTGTAAGAGGCTCAAAAGGAGCCGAAGACGTCCCATCCAATTACCTTTCGAAAGAATGTTCTAGAATTCCTACGTGTAGCTTCCCGATTGGATAATGCTAATAACCCCCTGTATGAGGATTGGAAGACTGTAATGATGATTTCGTTCTTACCAAAAACTATAAATTCCTGACAATTTTGTACTATAATTGACATTGTCTGGGAATAATATTCCTTTCGTTAGTCTTCTGTCTTCTTATTGCGACTTGGAAGGGTTTTGGTGTTCTAGTGCTCAGTTATTCGCGGTAGTATCAAGAAAAATCAACTTTTCAGGATATAACAGTTTCAATAAAAGGCTATTTGAATAACTTCTGAACGGTAAAGTGATGTAGACAGGCTTTTTCTCTACCGAGGCTACAGTAGGTCTCGTTGTACCATGGACTTTCCATCTATTTATGAATCTCAGAGGATAGCCATTTCCTAGTAACGTTTTATTTAGCAACTTAACATCATCAATGGCATCATTTGTACAAATACGATGAAGCCTGTTGTAAAGGCACCTTGTATTGCACAGGGCAATAAGCTATAATAACTAAGGTATTGACCTGTCCACGTTGGTTTTCTGAAAAATGGAACGCTTGACTGAACCATCTTCTCGTCTACTCAAAAGTATATCTAGGAAGGAGAGCTGATCGTTCCTCTCCTCTTCACATGAGAGACTGATATGGTTTTGGAGAGTGTTAAATTTATTCAATAAACAGTATATATACTCTTTTCTTTCACAAACAACTAAGATATCATTCACATATGTGGACGATATGTATTGCGCTAATATATCATCACATAATTCTGATAATCTTCGTCTCCTTATTACATTATCGAAATTTATCAAAGGGACGAACTGCTTTAACTATAAAACCTTTTCTGAAATTTAGTCATTTTGAACACATGAAAATTCAATGCAATTCAATATGATTATTTTTTTTGTATATTAAGTCTACAATTATCATTGTTTCTTCTTCTTCTTCTTTAAAACAGTTATGGCATTGATAGATTTACGTTTGTTATTAGTCTGTCAATTATATGATAGTATGTATGGACTTGGAACACGAGAGGATACATTGATACGAATTACCTGTTTACGATGTGAGGTATGTATATAGTTGATATATTATTTACCTACATGCTTACACCTGTTACTCTTAATGGAGCATAGGCCGCCGACCAGCATTCTTCAACCCACTCTGTCCTCCGCCTTCTTTTTTAGTTCTATCCAATTCTTGTGCATTTTTCTCATGTCCATCTCCATTTCCCGGTGTAATGTGTTCTTTGGTCTTCCTCTTTTCCTTTGGCCTTGAGGATTCCATGTGAGGGCTTGTCTTACGACGCAGTTGGGTGCTTTCCTCAATGTGTATCCTATCCACTTCCAGCGCTTCTTCCTGATTTCTTCCTCTGCTGGGATCTGGTTTGTTCTCTCCCACAGTAGGTAGTTGATATATGCAACTACTAAATGTTTCCGATTAAATTTGCATATCGTACATTTGGTTAACTATTGTCCACATAGATGGACTAAGTTTACTGGTGTAGAAGTAGGTTAGAAGAACACTTAGGCAATCATTCTCTGTTCTCGTCTTTTTTTCTTCGATCTTTTTAATCATCTGTCGTCAGGTATTCCACTCTTGATTGATGATACTACTTACATCTTTCAACATCAGTAGCAAACACCACACGACTAGTTAAGTATTAAAATAACTTGATATCTCAATCTTCTAGATTCAATCACCAATTTTTTTTTGTTTCTATCATTAGATTGATATGAATACATTGAAATCAATGTATCGTGAATATTTTGGTAAACCATTAATTGAAGCAGTACGAGAAGATACATCGGGAGATTTTCGCAAGTTACTTTTGGCATTATTGGGAGAATAACTTTTTTTCGAGCGGGGGAGGGGGATGAATATAAAATAATGTTCTGTTATTATTTTCATTAATAAATAACAAACTATCTTCATTTCAACAACAATGAAGCTTTCATTCATTCATTATTATTATTGTAATGAATTACTTGTGCCTTTCAGCTTGCTTTTATTTATTTCCAAAACATAGTCCATGTATATCATGAATTTAAAGAGATTAATTGATGTTGTTTGGTTGATTAATGATGTGAATAACTCATTATTGTTATCACTCGTGGCATTATACTCATATCAATATATAACGTAATGATATCTCCGATTAGAGAACAGCGATTTATCAACCGGATCAATGACGCATAAAACTCGTACGAGCAGTCTAGAATCTTTATCAGTCCTTCTTTTTGCTTGTTAGAGTTCAGAACACTAATCTCAGCCTCTGCTATGTGAATCGTGTATTTCAAACATACTGGGTTTATATACAAACCAAACAGAAAACATAGTACCATAAAATAGGAAACAACATATGTACAAGATTGAGCCAAATGTGTCTGTGAATGTGGGAGGTAGTGATTAATAGACAAGATATAACTCAAGAATGGTAAATCGTATAATAATAGTTAATGGGTCAAAATAAAGCTTATAATAAGAGGAACATCAAAGTGTACAGTTCAGCTATTTAAGAATTATACAATAAAAATGTATGCAACGTATTAATCCATAAACTGTTCTCAAAAGTCACCATTTATAATTTTCGTCGGGATATAACAATAAATACTACATTACATCAAAGCCAGGTCATTATGGAAAACCAGGAAGTACTGGTGAAGTTCAACTGTGTCTGATGTGAGGCAGTGACTCATTGAATATAATGGTGGACAGTGGTAAAATTAAATATTTTGACATTTCGTGACGCAGTGTAAACCACTTATTCTGAGAAAAAATAACCCAGCCAAAATTATTCCAAGTTTAAATAGTACAAACGGATGACACAAGAATATTAGGTGTGATCAATCAAAAAACAGGTTTGAATAAATCAATGCCATGTTATTCCGGTCAAGATGATTTATAATCGACATATATGTAAATTTGTGTGTATATGTGCGGAATCAGGGATAAAAAATATATGTGACCTTTGTGGTGAGAAAGGATAGTTTAATTTGTATGCACAATAAGTGTGAAATGTAAATAGAATCAGATATGGTAGCTTGGATAGATAATCAAAGTCGGATGTATAGTGAGGCCAATAGGATTAAGCATTATATGGAAAGATTCAGCTATTCACCTTACTTTGTAGTTGGAAAAACCTTTTTATACTATTTTGACGGTTGTTGAAAATGGTGTGAACTGCTACTGCCGATTTAATTTGAAATCTATCCAGTTCTATGGAACTATTAGATGATTTCTTTGTGTATCTAAGATGTTCTTTGGCTCGAGTCAAGATTTCGTGAGATGTCTCTCCAATGTAAAAGGCATCACAATCGACACATCCTCATTTGTAGACACAATTCTCAGAATTTAGTTGACATAATGGGGATTTTTTCTCTCTTAAGCGAACTAAAGTATTTCGAAGGGTGTTCGTTGTTTTGTAATACGAAATGTCGAAAAAATTTAATTTTAGATATAACAATCTACCCAATGCTCAATTTATTTGAAATTGTCAAGTCAAACCTTGGTAATGATGTAGTGAACAAGAACATGAGTGGGGACAATTGAATGTATTTGAGTACAAAATTACAGAACATCTCACTAAAATCTAAGAACCATATAGTAAATAGTTAATTTGCAAAATATCAATCCATTGTCATAAACTCGACTGTTCCTTCTGCAGATATCAGTCCCTTGTCTCAGATTTCATTGTTCAGATATTTTCATACTAACTGCTTTCTGTTCGTGTTCTTTCTTTCTCGATCTTCTACTGAAATAAATTTTTATGCCTGACCATCGTTATATACTACTTATGTGGATATAAGCAACCCACATCACAATGATACCAACTTAATTAGAATAAGTTTTATAACAGAATTTTAATGAGAAGCACTTAAGATTAAAGAAAAAGCTCTATAATAATTGAAACTCATCATTGGCATTCAGAAGCATCGTTGTGATTGTCGTTTTCCTACTGCTAAGATTTTGAAAAGAAGTTTTACAACAGATATTAGCTACTAGACGTAGTAGACATTATTCAGGAGTTTATATCAACCTGAAAATTGAAATATTAAAAGTACTTCTGTTCAATAATTGACACATGTATAATTTATATTTAGTTCGATGTATATAATTGATGTCAATTAACTATGAAATATTGTAACTGAATCTTCACAACAGTTAATCTAAAGAGCCGAAATAAGACAAGATAATTATAACCTTGTCACTGCTTGAAAACAATTAGATTGTCAATGATACATTTATCGATATAATCTTACGAGTTATCTTCAACTAGACCAAGCCAAGAATTATAACGATACGAAGTACACTCGCAGTTTATTACAAATAAATATCATCAACTAGTATCAACTACGAGTAAGGGATAAACCCGTAGATTGATTTCCGAAAATTCTCATAGGAAACCAAGTTCTATTTAGTAATTCAGCTATGACAGTAGACGAGGAATGTAATGTATAACAAAGTGATTGAAAGCATAGACCATTCAATTCTGATTTGGTATTGCCAAAATATCATACTCGCCGTGATCGATTTCAGATTCTACATTCTATTCTTTGTAAAATCATGAACGAGCATTATTGAGAAGTGTAAGGCTACGAGTTAACAACTCTTGTTTTCTAACATGAAATGGTCCTCTAGCAAATTTTGTTTGAGACAAAATCTACTAAAATAACTTCATTTATCAAACTGCTTTCTGTCACTCATACATCAAATTCCATTGATTATACGAAACAATATTTCAATAATGCATGGATGGTGGCCAGCAGTGGAATCCCGTGCGACACGCATTTCGTCCTGCTTGGGACTTGTCAGCTGAATGTACCTGCATCGTAGAGTTAGTGTCCACTCTGGGACTCGAACCCAGCACCGTCTGCTTCAAACGCCATCGCGCTATCTACTTAGCAACTAAGTCCTGGAGCCACCTGCTTGTGCGATGGGGTGAAGTTGAAATCCACTTGGTGTGGTTTTACTAGTATCTTCCCATTATTGTGCAAGGACTGAAATTGATCAGCAAGTAGTTATCAAAACTCAGTAGCTAAGTGGATAAGGCGATGGCGTTTGAAGCGAACGGTACTGGGTTCGAGACCTAGAGTGAACATCAATTCGACAATGCAGGTACATCCGGCTGACGAGTCCCAAATAGGATGGGACGCGCATCAAACTGGATTCCACTGCTAGCCATTATCCATCTTTGCTTAAAAAGCTTGTGACTTAAGGCTATACCGAGGCAATCCGCACATGATGAACATATGCCAACATGAGACATCAATTGCAGTCCTAAATAGCAATGGGAAGACACAAGTAAAACAACATCAATTGAATATAATACATCTAGAGTTTGAAAATCTAATTAGCTTTGTGCAGCCTACACGTATACACATAGAAAAGATAATTTGGCTCAATATTTGTATTGCATTTAATATTTCAACAATTTAGATTACGATACATAAGTTGAAAAAAGAAATAACCGAAGGAACTGACAGATTAATACCAGAAATCTGTATGTACTGTGGTCCAGTTATAATAGCTAAGCTGATATAATACCTAGAGTTGGAGGGCTGATTCTAATCCGATTTGAGTGGACTCAATCGTTCAGGGTTATAAAAAAGTATTAAAATCTTGTGATAACCATACGGGAATCACTTTGGTGGATATAGTATCTGAAATACTAGCCTCCATAATGATTTGACGCTTATCCGTAACAGCGAAGCGGGAGGAATCTGACTGACTTCAAACTTTCATGTGTTCCCTAATAGATCTAATTGTCACCTTTCTTCACGTTATGGAATACAGGCATACCAACCGAAAGACGACTATAGTTGTATTTCTTGACCCTAAGGCAATAATCAACTCTACTGATCATCACAATTTGTAGCAATGCTCGTCATCGGAAGAAGTAAATTTACCTTGTACAAATTCTTTAAACGAACACTGTTATTCGATTCACAGGTAATGATGAACTGTTATCAGAACTATCAACACAAAACGGAGTTGATTAGTTTTGTTAACTACGCTCCTTTTTAGTGAATTTTGTCACAGACGTCCTGCTAGAAATAACACTCTTCACTCTTCAGGACTGATCTGTACCGACGCCTGAACTAATGGGCAGGAGTGAAATAGTTGAGTATTAAGACCCCTTCATATTGGTAGATGCAGACTACCTGGTCGGAATTCGATCAAATACCACAATCAGTGGTTAGAGATACTAAACGACATGGTTCGGAACCGTTCACAATGGTGAAGATGCATTCACCCTTTCTCTTTCCAGTTTGTCTTTTCGAACCATATTCTCAATAATCATTCATCTCCATAATCACTCCCACTACATTATTTCGATCAAATTTGTTATTTCTCTTATCAATTGTAACACGGTGTACTAATACGATATGGCAACTTGGCCCAACACACATATGTTCAAGGCTCTACTCTGATAATGACTGCACGGCCCCCAAACACCCTGGTACGGTCGAGAGTAGGGAGAGTCAGCTTTGCTTCTCGAAATGCTCTGACATGACCACGCGTATACATCCATTGACAGGAAAATCCTACTCACTGATTTTTCGTAGACTTACTGTTGTTCACGAAATTGAGAAGACGAGAACCAAATGTCCGGCACCTGCTTCAACAGGGTTGGTGGACACGGAGAGTCTACCCATGTGAGTTGAAAAACCCTGATTTCAAATCGATGGTGCACAGGGGCTCCAGAATCCTAAAGAAACAAATAACGTATGAACCAATTGTGGGTCACCGACTACCAAGGAACTGCATATTCTGACGTTACTGCACCGTCTAATGGATCAAACCTCTATGTCAAAGGCTCCAGGTGTGGCCACCTGAGTAATATTCCAGCCCTTACATAAATCGAATGATTTATATGGTGCATATCTATACAGTGTCTTGTTGTACCAATGTTGATATGTTTAAATAATAATTAATAAACTTACTGAATGAGATCAAATGTAAGAATTCGATTCTATTAGAATAGAAATAAAACAAATATGACATATCAACTGATAGTAACATATTTCACCTAGCAACAAAACTTATAATTATACAAAAAAAATTGTCAAATTGAAGGCAAACAAAAATGACAAAGCACACACGCACACACACACAGAAAGAAAAACAAAACGAATTATTTTTTACACAATAAATAAGATCCATTTGAATGTTTCACCCTTTTTCTTTCTTTCACTCTTCTTATATACAAAAAAAAACAAAACAAAACCAACTAAACTATTCATATAAATGCATACAATTATCATTCATGAAATATAAACAATTGAATAGATCAATCAATCGATCTAGCAACAACAACAACAACAACA